ACAGTGGGATTTGAACCCCAGACCTCTTGCATGGCGGTCTGGCAACCTAACCACTACACTAAGATCACCAGACCTTGTAACTAGTTCTTTTAAAAAGATAAAAATGATTTATATTTATATAATTTTGTTTGCAAAGACTATACTAAGTAAATTCTATATATAATTAAGTTGCTCATATCTTTATAAACAGTTGTTTACTCCTTAAGCAATTGCTTTATCTGTGATTAAACTATTCTAAGATAACAGAAGCCACATTGCTCATATTACTAATTTATAGTTTATTCAAATATACGTTTTAGCCCCAACTGCTAATTTTAATGTTTACTCTTATCTCAATTGCTTATCTTAATGTTTACTTTTATCTCAATTGCTCATCTTAATGTTTACTCTTGTCTCAACTGCTTATTTTAATGTTTATATATATAGCTACCATGGTTCTTAAACGTAAACAAGAGCATAAGCAGGACAAATTGCAAATAAATAACTATATACAGATATAACTGAAATAAAAAAAACTATAATATAAATAAATAAATAAATAAAAAGAAATAAAATAAGAAAACCCGTGACTTGGAACGGGACACAATTTACATTCCAACAATACTTGTTGCATGAATTAATTTATATTTATTAATTATTGTACTTTTTGCATAAATTTACGTTATGTTCTTTTCATGTAACTCGTGATATACTTTCGGAGGCCACTGTACATATAAAAAATAAAAAAGGGTGTTGTTGGGTAAAAAAAACATTACAGAAATCTAATAAATGTATTTTTGTTTGTGTATATTAATAAAGAGAAATTGCAATTCGAATTTAGAATCCGCATAACTTCGACAATAACATCACCTAGCGTGACAATTTATCAATAATACCTAATTATCGATCGGTCTTGTTGAAAGTTTATTCACACTGAAAATCACATGATTTACATATACCCGTGTGAATGTTATTTTTTATAGCAAAAACCGAATCAGATTTTTGCTAAAACTATTTTATTAAGATAGATTTTACAGGGCATCCCCAGATGGAATCGGAAGACATCGGAGTTAAAATTAAGTATTAGCAATTGACAATTCAAATAGTAATAAAATTGTGAAACTTCACATTTCATAGTTAGCTGGCCAATATTATGCTATACTATTTAACAATGCCTATAGCAAAATTATCAAGCTGGGAATTTTTACTTAGTGAGTAGGCTATAACCATTGGAATAGGATTGTTAATGGGTTGGGTTGAACTAGTCCTCAACCCACTCCAACTTGGGTTGGGTTCACTCCGGAGTATGCTACTCCATTAACAATCCTACATTGGAATGATTTTAGGCAATTCCGGTCCAACCGACCAAAATTCCGATGCCATCCAATTCGGAAATTTAAGATGGAGGATTTGTTCTTAAAAATTATTAGCTGGGCAAAGATATTTATTAGGTTGGAAATATTTAAAGCTGGACGAAGACATTTATTAGGTCGAGAGTCATTTGTTGGGCTAAGACATTTATTAGGTTGGGAATATTTAAAGTTGTCATTGGCTGGACGAAGACATTTGGGTAATGGACTAGGAAAACCCGCCTTTGACGATTTTTTAAAAATTTTGAGTTGTTTGATTCAGATTAAAGTGCCAGTTTCTAACTACATATATTTCAATTTTTACCGAGATATTTTAACTTGAAGGTGATCCAATTTTAAACGTTCGTATTCTAAAAATAGAATGATAACTCAATTAAATTAGATTGGTCAATCAATGTTGTAAACCCAATACACATTAATAGTAATTAATAGTATTTTCCCCACCTCAATTTTTTAAAATTTATATAACTAATACATGTTAAATCAACTAATAAAATTGCAGTTTTGGTATTTGTTTTTTTTTAACACTATCCTATAGACTATTAATTTTATGTTAAACAGAAAATTAAATTGGTGTGGCCTAATTTGTATCTAAAAATTCAGGGGTAATATTTAGGGTTCACCGTCATTTTCTCAAAATGGGGGTCGTCTAAAGCGGGAAAATTCACGTGACCAAGGCCAAACAAATTATAGAATTTTGCGAAGCAAAACAAGAAACAAAAACGAAAAACCTAAAAAATACAAAGAACGGCAGTCTAAATCTACCTCAGGTGGGTTAAGTAAAAATGTCGGGAAGGCAATTTTGCTTATATTTAACTATCTAAAACCTAACCTAATCCTAATACAAGATGACCCTAACCCTAAAGTTAATCGAGAAAATTATTAATAAATATGAGTTGCCCCCGCTTTAGACATTCCCTCAAAATGGAAACTACCCTTCAAGAGCGGGTTATCCTAGTCCACAACCCATTTGTCGAGATTAATTTGCTGGGCTAAGACATTTATTAGGTCGAGAATACTGTATTTAAAATTGTAGCTAAGCATTTATTAGGTCGGGAGTATTTAAAATTGTCATTGACTGGACGAAGATATATATTTATTAGGTCAGAAGTACTTATTGGCTGGGTGAAACTATTTATTAGGTTGGGAGTAAATGTGCGGACATTAGAACATGAAATAACATACGTCATAGCCGTAACTGGGGTAGCTACCCAAATTTTATATGACGTAGGAGAGTAGTTACCCTTGACCTGACAAATGTCCGTACCTCTAGTTGGGAGTATTTAAAATTGTCATTGGCTGGGCTAAGACATTTATTAGGTTGGGTGCTTTTAATTATAAAAATCTATAAAGTATTAATTACATTTTAAACTAGTTATTCATTCTTTACGATGTTCAATTCATTGACTGATTATTATTCGTTGTTTGCATTGTTCACTCTTTACTCGTTGATTGCATAATTTGCTCTTTATCTGTCGCTTGTATCTAGAGATGGATTGGTCTTCGTAAAGACTAGGACTAGACAGTCATGGACTAAGGATCGAAGATTTTCGGCCCTGGGTCTGTAACAGTCCGGCGGTCTTAACTGATAGAAGTGATTAACTAATAAAAATAAAGTGACAGTATTTTCTCATAATCCTTCAAATAAAAAGATTTCTTGTTTTCATTTTCTAATATTTCTCTAATATTAAGTCACACAATGATGTTAGTATAAGTAGACTCTAATCAACAAAATGTTGAAGCTCCAATTCATAACGATAATGAATCAAGTGTTGAAATCCAAAGTTCAAATGAAAAAATTGTCAAACCCTCCGATTCATGATAATCAACAAGATATGCGCATAGATCTTGAGGCGAGTTCTAGAAATATAAGACCACAGTAAAAATATATCTATAGTTTGTTGGGCCTGAATTAAGATGATTAAAAGTTACTAAAAAAGTTGAATTACATGTAGGGTTGTGTTACGAAATTTCGATAAATTAGATTTTAAGTAATTTTCTCATGTGATAAAGTACCGGGCGTTATAGAAGTTTTGGCATTATGCATCTAATACATGATTCGCATTGTAATGACATTTAAATGATGAAAATTTATCGTTACGTGTTCAAATTTACAATTGCATGAAATATTTATTTGTAGGTAAAATACATAACAGATAAAATTACGACCCCAATTGCATGTCGAAAATTTAAATCGCAAAATACAAAAATATTATAAATTGCAGGTTATAATAGAAATATCTCGAATTAAAGGTTGCAAAAAGCAAGAATATTTCATACAATTATTCGTTATCTGCTAATCTCACCCTACCAATTCTGGATCAAGGTTTGTGCATATTTGATATTGTTTCCCACCTGAAATTGTTGATACACAAATCTTTTCGAGCAATTTTTGATAAAATAATAAATCGATTTTTTTTAAGATTCCACTACTGTAATGTAAATTTATCATTATAACGATAAAAATTGTGATGAATAACTCGTGAGTGCTGATTTAATAATTCGAACGTGATAAACTCAAGTTATTCGAGTCACAGTCCAGTCTCTAGTTAACCACTCTCATGTAACGTAATATGACAGCTCAGAAAGTTGACAATAAAACATAACCCACATCTGATTAACGTAAACTCATCTAAAAAAAACAACTGCAAATTAAGCCCTTGTAACTGATTTAACTTTAAATCATATTAGCAAATGTGACGTTTCAAGCAAATTTTTTCAAAGTAAGTTTTTTTGAAACTTTAAACAAAAATATTTCAACAAAAACTTTATCAAATTTAATAAAATTTTTTGAAATATTATATTCATAACACCTATGTTATATAACATCTTATATATAATAATTATGTAAACTAGATTAGGATAAGGGTATAGGTTTTTAGTATATTATTTATTTAATAGTATGGTGTTATATAACATGGTGTTATGAATATAACTTTCCATCTAAATTTTATCTTGACTTTTTCCAAATAATTCTTTTAAATATTTAACTTCACGCGTTAAAACACGTTCTTGTGTAGTAGCTCTATTCAAAATTTCATCAAGCTTAATCTTATTTTCAAAAGATAGTTGTGTATTATCAATTGTTTGACCAATTTGTATGATTTGATCAAGAATGGTATATAATTGGTTGGGAAGCCATGTTACGATTGGTGAACCTCTACATATAAATATAATAACAATGATTTAGAAATTAAGATTAAATTTATTTGTTAATACAAGTTAAAATTATTGTTAATTTTACCCAGTAGCAACAGGATGCACAGTATTTTTAATCACATATTCCTTGGTAAAATTCCAATGTCGATTACGGAATGCACGAATTTGGTCCATATTTTCCAAATAGTGAGCTATGAAAAAAATTTTTTAACATATGATAAAATATAATAATAATATTTATAATTGGTAAAATAATTATATTTACTTGCACTATTTGCATCCTAAATGAAGAAATATAAAATTTGGTATTAATACAATCAAAATAATCAAATTTGCAATACAAAACCAAAACCAAAAAAATAATATAATATAGTAAAATACTTGAATAGCAAATTCTCTAACATTAACTTCATTGGCACGATTTTGAACATAATTTAAAAATTTTTTATGATTTGTAGGTCGATATTTTCGAAAATCTTTTAAAACTTCTGTTAAAGGATTATCTGGCATTTTTTCAGTTAATTGTAATAAATTGTCCATGCATGGGATCATGGAATCATTTGCACCGGATTCACCTATTTATATTAAATAAAACATATTTTATTAATATTTATTGATTGTAATAAAATTTTGATTTTTTTTTTTATAAAATATAAATATGTTTATATTGCCTCGATAGAATAATGGCTCATCGCTTACGCCTTCATAAATAACACCTACAAAAAAAAACCAAGTTAGAACCGAATTATTGATTTATATGACATATTCAAGAAGCATTCACCATTTGGGAACATGGGTTGATTCTTGGATCCCATTATAAAAGTACGAAATTTTAAGTAATCATCAGGATTTGATCTTTTCCACATGGTTTCCATTTCTTGATTAATTGAAAACATAGTATCGTTTAAATTCTTAAGTGCATTGTTAAATTTCAAACGATCCTTTTTTCAAGAATAAAATAATTAAGTATTTATATTTTAAAACATTTACGAAAAAAAAAATATAAGAAATTACATTTTGTTCAGCCGAATTGAGAGTTTCTATTGTCCATCGAACCAAATTTCCACTATTAGCAACCATTGCTACGTGGACAAGGATAAATCCATGCTCGGAAGGTGTACCGGCAAATGCACGAACAAGGTTTAAATTAGGATATGTTATTGGTAGGAAAGGATCCACTCGTTGATAATTGTATAAACTTCATATTCATTATGATAAATATATAGTTATATAAAATATATTATTACATATTGTACAGTTTAAAAAAATTGATTCAAATTTTTTAACTAACACTGAGGCTAAACTTTTCAAAATTCCACCAGTAACTTTGTGTAGAAAAACAAAGTTACCAGAGTAATTTTGAAATTGAAATAGAATTGTTAAGGCCTTCAGAATAAAATTTAAAATGATATCGGATAAATTAATCTTTTACTTAAGAAAGTTAGTATCGTTTATTATTACTAGGCTAACTTTCTTAAGAAGATTATTGATGATCTATATATCTAAGTACCTGTACGAAAGAGTATATTCCATAAATGGAAAAGCATAAAGTTTTTTGGCAACGTTATTTAATGGTACGGCAATATTTTTTGGTAATATTTGACGACCTAGTCCATAATCTTTTTTCTCTCGATACATGATATCGCAAGGTTCAAGCAAGTAAGCGGATGCCAAAAACGTATAATCACGAAATAAAGCTATAATACATAAAACCTAATTAAGAAATTGAATTTTTTGAATTTTATCTAAAGCTAATTCAAAAATTTCCCAAGAAAATTAAATACCAGATAAAAGTCTTTGATCTGAAATAGAGCTAACATCATATAATGGTAAATCTTTAACAGCTTCACCTAATTTACCTTTTGCTAACAAACCTTGTTCACCATTTGGAAGACGAATTGGCATCTTTTGTAAAAGATATTCAAGAGCATAAAATCTGTTGGGTAAACAAGCTAAAGGATCCTAATTATTAAAACATAAGAAATAAAATATGAGGTTAATAATTTTAATAATGATTATCTAAAGAATATATATATATATATTTTAATAATAATTACCTGTCTAGGTAAAAATCCATTTTTATAACCAACCATAAAAGAAGGTAAACTGGAATCATGTTCCATGGGATCTTTTAAAACATTAAAAATATTGGATTGAACATTGGGACGTTCAAATATGCCAATAGAAGAATTCTTCCTTGTAGTCACCAGAATAGGAAAACGATGGGATATACTAGGAATAATGATACGAGAACTTTTGCAAAAGATCCGTTTAGTTGATAAAATCATTATATTTTTTTTAGTTGAAGAAACAAAAAAAAAATTACGAGAATTATTTGAATTGTTTGTAAAGTCATTTATATTTTTATAATTTATTTTATAATTGTAAATCATTAATATTAATGATTGTTTGTTTAACCGACATAAAGATTTTCTTCAGGCGGTTTGTAAATTAGAATATTTCAGCCATTTTGATATAATATCGATATTTATGTTTATAGATTTGACTTGATTTGGAACACCTTATATTAAAACATTCTGTTTAAAATTTATCTGCGCAAAATTTAATATAACTCAAGACATCATATAATGCTATTGTCATAACTTTGATTATACTAGCATACAGTCATGAGTTAAATATTCTTAGTCATATTGCCAGATTTTCAAAAAATTCAATAAGAATGATGATCACAAGCTAAAATTTTCCCACGGTTTCATGACATCTGAGATAAAATTAATTCATTTTCGCGGTTATCGAAAAAAAAAAAACAATTAAGATGAATACAAATATCTCATAAAAGAACTCAAATAATCATACTTTTTATCTTTGAACTTTAATGCAAAAAATATTGAATATTAAAAAGTATTTAAGTCACGTTAAGATAACATATAAGCAATTAAAAATAAATTATTTTTATAAATTATTTATAGCTAAACCTAGGTATGATAATATATCCGGTACCATTCCAGGTTGAGCCTTAACTAGAGATAACAGTAGAATCGTCTTAATAAATTTTTTTTGAAATACAAATAAAGTGCAGATAATATCAGATATAGCGATGATAGTATTTAGTCATGTCCAAAAAATTTGAATATGTGACTTTCGCCCAATCAAATTTCAAGAAGTTTAAGATCAGGATGTAACGTGAAAATCACGCTTTTTTTTTTTTTAAAAAAAAAAAATTTGCTAGACTGCAAAAATTTTGCATATACTGTACTAAGCCCTTCTCTAGCTCTAATCCTAAGGTTTTTTTTATTCGTTTGATGGTCACTTTATAATAAAATTTTGTAGACCTGTATTAAATCAGGGATGGTAAATGACCTGGTCATTTGATCAAAATTTAAATGACCTCTAGTCATCAAATAATGACCAGGTCATTTGGGTCATTAGGTCATTTAGGTCATTTACATATGAAGTAATTTTATTGGTCAGATATCTAATATAAAAAATTATCAAACGATATTATTTCACTATTGATAATCGTAGCTACATATAAAAGTCAAAAATTTACTAAGCTAATCGATAATTTCATCTTAAGTAAAGTTGTTCAGAAGAATAAATTGCATATAATTTGAAAATTTTATATAATTTTAATTAAGCTATTTTTATGTTTTACATTTACACAAAAAAAATTTAAATTTTTTCGTGTAAACGTAAAACATAAAAATGACTTAATAAAAAGTTATTAAAATTATACAAAGTTTTCAAATTATATGTAATTTGTTCTTCTAAACAACTTTATTTAAAACGAAATTATCGATTATCTTAGTAAATTTTTGACTTTTATATGTAGCTACTATTATTAGTCATATTTTATAAAAATTAATTTGGTCTAATTGATTAGCTAAATAGCATTAGATTATTAATTAACAGAAATTAAATGACCTTCTTAGGTTATTTGTGTTTTGAAATGACCAATGACTAGTCATTTGTTATTTGAGTTATTTGGGTCATTTCAAATCATTTACTATTCCTGGTATTAAAAGATTTTACTTCATCTTTAATTTCTTTTTTTTTTTTTTTTGTTGTTAAAAGTAGTTTATATTGTTGAAGAAATTTTATTAGTGTTATAAATAAGATTATATATTTATAATCCTTACTGTTTGTAATTACATAAAGAGTATATAACAAGCTACATGTATAACTTTAGTCATTGTCTATTTTAAGTAGTCTGCTACACAGGCATTAGACTACTTGATTAGTTCAACACTATGTTGTTATATCTGTAACTCACCTATGAGTTACTTATTTAAACACTCTGTTCATTAATCTATACAGATCTAACCTAATATTACTACAACATCTAACTACTTAAACTAGCTAGCTTATTACAGATCTATTTATTCAGAATAGCTTAGATTTTTTAGAATATATTATA